CTCCTGTAAAAGTTTTCCAACACATTTCTAAACAATATTTCTTATAACTAATTGCTTTAAGTGCTGTCGCCTCACAGCTAGAAGGTCGCTGGATTGATCCTCGGCTCAGTTGGTGTTTCTGTGTGGAGTTTGCATGTTCTCCCTGCGTTTGCGTGGGTTTCCTCCGGGTGCTCCGGTTTCCCCCACCGTCCAAAGACATGCGGTACAGGTGAATTGGGTAGGCTAAATTGTCCGTAGTGTATGAGTGTGTGTGAATGTGTGTGTGGATGTTTCCCATAGATGGGTTGCGGCTGGAAGGGCATCCGCTGCGTAAAAATGTGCTGGATAAGTTGGCGGTTCATTCCGCTGTGGTGACCCCGGATTAATAAAGGGACTAAGCCGACAAGAAAATTAATGAATAAATAAATGAATAAACTAATTGCTTTAGTGTTTGCCATGATGACAGCATATAATATCTTACTAGTTTTTTTGAAAATACTAGTATTTAGCTTAAAGTGCAATTAAACTTAACTAAGTAAATTAGGTTAACTAGACTAGTGTAATTAGACAACTCATTAGACAAAAGTGGTTTGTTCTGTAGACAATCAAAAAACAGTAATTTCTTTAAGGTGCTAATGATATTGACCATAGCAGTTTATGTGTGTGTGTGTGTGTGTGTGTGTGTGTGTGTGTGTGTGTGTGTGTGTGTGTGTGTGTGTGTGTGTGTATATAGTGCTGTCAATCCATAAAAAAAATTAACTAATTAATCACACTTTTTTTGTAATTAATCGCGATTGATCACATTTAAAAGACTGAAACTTGTAATTTTGGCTATTCAAATGTAAAATTAATGTAAACGCAAGTCAAAAACTACTTAAATTCAAAATATAATTGTTTATTAGAATTTTTGTTTATCTTGTAACACAGATTTCTTCATGTAAACAACATACCCACAATAAACCATCAAGATCCTGGCTTGACAGCCATATTTATTACAGAAATCAAAACAGGCATGTAATGCCATTTGAATTTCAAATCAATCAATGCCAATAACAAACAAAAATGATTTCCATGTTGGATTCTAAGAGGACTGCAAAAAATGCCAAAATACAGGCATTGCAGATATGGAAAATGGAAAATTATAATAATAAAGTATTGAATACAAACAATTGTACTCATTGAAAGTTGTATTGCTGTGAGTTGAGAACATTAATTATAAAACAGAAACAATTTAGCTCAGTCCTCCTTTACATTCGGCCAGTTGCTAAGACAGCCCAGTCTGTTGACATTATCGGGGGACAATGTGGACCTTTTCTTTTGAATGATGTGAGCTGAGAGGGAGTACAAGCAGGATCCTTGAATCATGCATTTCGGTGCCTAATTTTGTTATGAAAAGCGCGTATGCGCACACATACACTTCAGTTCAGACTGCATGATTTTCAAAGTATTTGTGTAACAGATGTTTTTCACACTGCATGACTATCTGGGCTTGCGTTTTATCACTACTTTGTTTACACTGCAAGATGGATCGGCGACAGGGGCTTTCACATTGCAATAGAAAGAATATCCTAGACTATCCAGATATGCTACAGATAGACGTTTTGGCTGAAAGACATTTATGCCTGTTAATTTCAGTGCTGTATTTTGACAAATTTCGCAAAGGCTTCAGCTATTCTGTCAGCTGGTACTAGCCTCTGTTTTGCGACTTGACTTGTGTGGCGTCAATTTCTGGATAACAGCGAGACAGAGAGAGAGAGAGATGAGATCAGACCTCAGATTCGATGTGTGGCCGTACGTCACAGTTCCTGAAATTTTTAAATATTGGCTCATCTAAACTAACTTTTTATTAGATTAAAAGCCAAAACATTGCCAGACAGACAAAGCAACTTTCAGATTTGGAAGAGAGGTGCTTCAGTGATAAAAAGACGCACACACACACAGGATACACTCTTGTAGGATTATTCATTTTTGATTTTTAACATTACATGCATAATAATCAAGTGCAAAAATGAACAGCTGAACTTTGGAAAACGGGATCACTGCGGTTGCCGCGATGGATCACTCTTGTTTTAATAAAAAATATTAGATTAAAATAAAAAATTAATTTAAATAAAAAATTATTTATTATTAAACATTGTGAGATGTTGGTCGCGTGATTTTTTTAAATAAGGTGCTTTTGCATTGCGTTTTGACACTAAATCATCCGCCATTCTCTTTCTGTAAATTCCACTCCTCTCATTCTCCTCACATGATAAATGAAATATGAAGTATTTTAGCTATGTTCAGATTTTAATTGTGCTGCATGCTCTCGTCTTGAGTTAAATATTTAGAATGATATTTTCCATTTAATTCAAATAATTGTTTAATAATAAAAAAAATTAATACATTGCGTCCTAAAACCGGTAACATTGTCTATCGTGGCAAGCCTGCAATGTTAGTTTCGCTTTCCACTGTTTAATTGAATTGACGGAGTGAATCTGTGCATAGTTTTTTCTCTCAGCCAGACTGAAGCACGAGCAGCGGCTTCATGCCCTGACCTTCTGTTGCGTAACACGGAGATCACGCTTTACTGCCATACTGTTGAAACAGTGAGCGCTGTGCCAGAGGGACTCGCTCAAACACAGCACTTCATCAGCTGCCAACATTCATTATAATCTCAGAAATACTGGAAACACCACTGACCTGCCAACGTACACTGCTGTATAAAGGACAACTGGCTCAGTAGATGCTGATGATGCTGCCTTGTAGGCCTGTCACAATAATCAATACATGGACTTATCGCACAACACATGGACATGAGCTCAATCATTTCTGGTGATGCAGTATATATCGCCTATACATAAAAACCAAATCTAGCAACATTTGAGCTGATTGTGCGACATCTCTATCTCTATTAGAGGTGTCAGTATGCTTAATAAAACACTAGTATTTACTGTAAATGACTACAGTATATTGTCATGTGTGTGTCTGAGCTGAAAATAGATCTGCTAGCAGATATCGCAGCCCCTGTTTACTCTTTACCTTGCACCTTTGTGTTGTTATTATTATTTATTTAGGAATTCACATTCTGATTCCAATGCCTGATTATTAAACTGTTAAAATGACTATAATTAAGTGAAATATTCTTTAAACACAGTTGTTATAGTCATTTTTTTATGTTTTATTTTTGTCTCTGCTGTCATTTTATGTGAGAAAATGTCACTGATATCTAATTGTGTGGTCATGTGTTACTTGCGGCAGTGTCGTCCTGCGTTATATAAGTGTATAAACAACAACACTACGAGGTAAACTGAGTTCAGCGCAGAGAGAGACAAACGAGATGCGTCAAACACACACACACACACACACACACACACACAAATCAATGCAATTCAGATGAGCTTTATTATTTTTATTTATTTAGCTTATTTATTGCCACATATTACCACAGCATTGCAAATAGTCGGATGGATGGATAGAAGGATGGACAGATGGATAGGTAGGTAGACAGACAGACAGACAGACAGACAGACAGACAGACAGACAGACAGACAGACAGACAGACAGATAGATAGATAGATAGATAGATAGATAGATAGATAGATAGATAGACAAACCGATGGACGAACGGATAGATAGATAGATAGATAGATAGATAGATAGATAGATAGATAGATAGATAGACAAACCAATGGACGAACGGATGGATAGACAGACTGACGGACGGATGGAAGGATAGACAAATTGGTAGACAGATGGATGGATAGATAAATGGATGGATGGATGAAGGATAACATTCATTATAAAGGATAGACAGATGATAGATAGACAGACGGAAGGACGGACGGATGGATGGATGGACAGACAGACGAACGGATAGATAGATAGATAGATAGATAGATAGATAGATAGATAGATAGATAGATAGATAGATAGATAGATAGATAGATAGATAGATAGATAGATAGATAGATAGATAGAGATAAATAGATAGATAGATAGATAGATAGATAGATAGATAGATAGATAGATAGATAGATAGATAAATAGAGATAAATAGATAGATAGATAGATAGATAGATAGATAGATAGATAGATAGATAGATAGATAGATAGATAGATAGATAGATAGATAGATAGATAGACAGACAGACGGACGGACAGTCGGACGAACGGACGGATGGAAGGATAGACAGATAGATAGACAAATGGATGGATGGATGGATGGATGGATGGATGAAGGATAGCATTCATTATGAATGCTAGACAGATGGAAAGATAGATAAATGGATGGATGGATGGATGGATGGATGGATGGATGGATGGATGGATGGATGGATGGATGGACGGACGAACAGATAGATAGATAGATAGATAGATAGATAGATAGATAGATAGATAGATAGATAGATAGATAGATAGATAGATAGATAGATAGATAGATAGATAGATAGATAGATAGATAGACAGACGGACGGACAGTCGGACGAACGGACGGATGGAAGGATAGACAGATAGATAGACAAATGGATGGATAGATAAATGGATGGATGGATGGATGGATGGATGGATGGATGGATGGATGGATGAAGGATAGCATTCATTATGAATGCTAGACAGATGGAAAGATAGATAAATGGATGGATGGATGGATGGACGGACGAACAGATAGATAGATAGATAGATAGATAGATAGATAGATAGATAGATAGATAGATAGATAGATAGATAGATAGATAGATGGATGGATGGATGGATGGATGGATGGATGGATGGATGGATGGATGGATGGATGGATGGATGGATGGATGGACGGATGGATAGACGTATTGAGAGATAGATAGAAAGATAGATAGGAGTTTTCTCCCAGAATATGTTTGTTTTTTGGTTCTCTGGTTGTAAGAGTTATTAAATTTGGTGTCATTTGCTGGAATTTGCAGAAGTATGTTGATCTAATGTTGTAGTAATGTTCACATTACAGCAGGAAATGCTCCTTAGCTTGCACCATTCTCTGAGAACCTTTCTTTCTCTCTCCACTATAGGATGCATGTATGCTCACTTCAGCTCATCGATTGTCCTCCTCTTGAACAGAAGATGCTTTCTTTCGAGATCACGCCATGTTCAGTCACAGGCACTGATGAAAGCTGCCGGTCAGCTGTTTGTCTTGTCAATTTTATGTCGTTTGTGTGCATCTGTATGTATGTAAATTAGGGTGTAGTGATAAAAGAAACAATAAATGTTGTTCCGTGTCAAGATTTTATGTTAACTAACCTTCCCAGAACAAGCAGAGACAGTTATTTGTTGTTGCTGTTGCTGCTGTTGTTGTTGTTGTTGTTGCCGACACGGTGGCTCAATGGTTAGCACTGTCGCCTCACAGCAAGAAGGTCACTGGTTCGAGTCCAGGCTGGGTCAATTGGCATTTCTGTGTGGAGTTTGCATGTTGTCTAAGGCCCCGTTTACACTAGTGCGTTTTAGTTTTAAAACGGCGTTTTAGAATGAAAACGATCCGCGTCCACACTCGCGTTTCACCCAGCGTTTCTGAACTGCTCTCCGTCCACACCAAAACGCTGAAAACGCACATCACGTGACCACACACAGACTCTCAGGCAAGCGCTGCAGCTCATCTACCCAGATGAGAGCTGTGCTAGTCGGACTGCTCATCAAGCATCTCCTGCTGGATCTAATCTCACTATATTTATTAAACGGGATATTTCATTCATCTTGTTGTCTGTATCTAACGACATATTCCCTGATTTTGGTCCCTGGAATCTATTACTTGTTCTCAGGTAACGTGTTTTGGCTGAGCGCAAAGATAAGTTAATGATTAATAAGCACGTAAAACCTATGCTGGATAAGTTGGCGGTTCATTCCGCTGTGTTGACCCCTGATTAAATAAGGGACTAAGCTGAAGGACAATGATTGAAGGTTTTTAGATTAGTGGTATAAAATTATTGAAATGGGGGAGGGAGATAAATATAAATAGTTTGCAGGTGTAAAGTTGTGGTTTTGTCTAGGGACGGGTATCGTTAAGGTTTTAACAGTATTACTACTTTCATCAATACCACTTATCGGTTCGGTACTTTAACGGTTCTCTTATCGGTACTTTTTGTAGTAAAGCAATGTACAATGTTTTGAAGGAAAAGGACTCCGTTTTAACCTTTTTCTTGTGGAGAAAATTCAACATGTTTGCCTTTTCAGCCAGAACTCGGGATCTTTCTTGGATTATTTTGCTCCCTGCAGTTGAAAATACCCTCTTATAGTTGCAAAATGCAGTTAAATAATCAGATATTGTTTATAATTTTTCATTAATGCATTCACATAATTGAGTTAACAGTGTTTTGGGAGTAAAAATATATATATTTTTAATAATTTCTTAATAAGAATAGTTTATTATTAAGCTATTCATAGACTATATTTGTAAATACAGCAGATGTAAAAGCATTTTTAATGTTTAAGATTTATTTAGGCTACTGCAAAACATAACCAAATGTGTGTGTTTATTTAACTATAAATATTATTTTAATTTACCTTATGTGATTGACTGCTAGCATAACGATGTGGATGATGTACCTTCAGCTAGTCAGTCGAAAACGGTTCATTTGTCTGTCTGCAGTAAATGCACATTTGAAAGATACTTTCACTTAGCCAGATTGCTTGCGTTTCTGCTTATACGTGAAAACAACATGTTGCGTTTGCTGCAACTGGCATTGTCGCTAACCACTCGGGAAATACAACCCGTTCGCAAGCTATTTGTGTGCGCTTAGAGCGAGCCTCCACTGAGTGTGCGCGCACAGCCGAGAAAAGAGAAGGTTTTTATACTTGACATGCTCATCGTTGTACTATTGGGCGAAACGCGAGAATTTCTCATCTGAGATTGCCATCTGTGCAGACGAATATCGCAAATTAGAAAAAGGTTGGTCAGTTAAATTATGCCACTGTAAGTAATGTTTAGTCTACAATAATTCTCCAGCACTGAAAGCAGAACCGTAAACGTCAGAGCTTGTCGATACTTCAGTATTTTATAATGTAGCACGGTAGCACCAATACTGATAAAGTGCAGAGTTTCGGTACCCATCCCTAGTTTTGTCTCTTTATCTCTATATTGAAATGCAGAATGATCATCTTTATGTGGCTTGTGTGTCATGGTTTGTGCTTTATCAAATTGTTAACGTTTAATCAATCAAACCTTTTTTTGAAGCACCTTAAAAACAACCAAAGTTCTGTAATGTTAACTAAATCTGTGTTTACAGTAAATTACTGTTACCTGTACATTTCACTTTTCTAGGGTCTAATCCAGGGGTGTCAAACTCAATTCCTGGAGGGCCGAAGCCCTGCACAGTTAAGTTCCAACCCTGCTCCAACACACTTACCTGTAGGTTTCAAACAAGCCTGAAGGACTCAATTAGTTTGATCAGGTGTGTTAAATTAGGGTTGGAACTAAACTGTGCAGAGCTGTGGCCCTTTTGGAACTGAGTTTGACACCTATGGTCTAATCTCTTATTGTCATACTGTTTGAATTCCTCATAAAGAAATATATTTCATATTATATGATATACAGAGATTGGACAATGGAACTGAAACACTGGTCATGCAGTCTGAAATCGGGATAAGCTTAATACTTGTGCTACATGGGCGTGTCACTGCTAAGGATTACCGAACCATTCTGGAGGACCATGTGCACCCTATGGGTCAAACACTGTATCCTGAAGGGGGTGCCATGTATCAGGATGCACCAATACACACAGCAAGACTGGTGATAGAGTGGATTAATGAACATGAAAGTAAAGTTGAATGTCTCCCGTGGCCTGCACAGTCACCAGATCCAAATATTATTGAGCCACTTTGGGTTGTTTTGGAGCAGGAAATGTTTTCCATCATTATGTAGTGACCTGGACACTATTCTGAAAGAAGAATAGTGTCCAAAATCCCTCTGGCTGCTGCAGCAAAAGGAGGCCTCGCACCACACTAATGAATTATTGTGCTCTGAAACCAGGCGTTTCAGTTTCAACTCCTCTATATATATAATTCATTGAAATAGATTATTATTGTTGTACTATCCATTTCAGATAGACAACAAGGAAAATAACAATAATAACTTAATAAAATATGATCCGTTCTATTGAATCAGATCATATTTTCCTCTCTGTGATAGAAACAGAAAGGGCTGAGATGTAAAGCCGAGCGTATGTCAGCAGTATTATGAAGAGTGAAAGCTTAATGACTTAACCAGCGTCTTCTAAATTTACACCTTAAGTAAATGAAAGCTCTCAGAAACCCCAGACTATTAGACCTTCTGAGAGTAAGAATACTCCCGGTAATGTCTGCTTTTACGATGATTATGAAAGCTCTGTTTGGTTTGCACATGCATTTGGCTGAAACCTGAGAGACGTCCATTAATCCTGGCTGTTTGTGTCTCATTGCCGTGTTGCTGTATCGACGCTGTTTTACTGCTTCAGATACGCTGGAACATCGTCTTGCTCTTACAGCAATTTACACTGTATCAGGTTCCTTGAGGATTCACTTAAAGACTGCAAAGTGTTGCTTTATTTCAGATGATCACTAGTAGAGTTTATAAGTGTTGAATGTTGAGTGGATTTAGTTGTTCATGATGCTGCACAATCAGTCATGCACTGCAAAAATGCTTTTCTTACTTAGATTTTTTGTCTTGTTTCTAGTCCAAATATCCAAAAGTTCTTAAATCAAGAAGCATTTTCCAGACAAGCAAAACATATTGTCTTGTTTTAAGAAATAATATGAGTTTTTCCTTAAATCAAGCTAAATAATCTGCCAACAAGGTAAGCAAAATAATCTTATCACAAATCGAAAAACAAGATTATTTTGCTTACCCCATTGGCAGATTATTTAGCTTGATTTGAGGAAAAACTCACTTCATTTTGGCATATTATTTCTTAAAACAAGACAATATGTTTTGCCTGTCTAGAAAATGCTTCTTGATTGAAGAATTTGTAGATATTTGGACTAGAAACAAGACAAAAAATCCAAGTAAGAAAAGCATTTTTTGCAGTGTGTTTGTTAAAAGAAGACATTTATGATCAGAAATAGGTCTGAACAGTATATCGTTTTAGCATCAATATCACAATTTGTGCATCCGAAGTAGTCATAATGCAGGGCGTGCAGTGTGGAGTCAGGATTGTAGTTGACCAGGTATAACAGTTTAGAACACATGAGAATTTTGTTACAGTAAATAAAGTAAAGCATTTGGGCACAAGGAATTAGTGTTGGCTGACCAATTTGGCATTGTATGATGTCTAATGGGAAACATCGCGATGGACGATGGCATCGTCATCATAGGCGGAGGTAAATTAATTATTCATGAATAATTTATCAATTCATAACAAATTAATTATTTGTGGTCTACCGTTTCAACTACCTGACCCGGACTGGTCTTTGTTTTACCCATAAACGAATCATAAATAAATATATGTAACACACAAATTACCATCTGTCAATCACTTTTTCCGCAGGAGGTTGGTCGGTGCACAACCAACAGTATTTGAGGTTTTCACTAAAATTACTAAGTGTGAAAGCGAAAGACTGAAGCAGTGTACTGACGCTGTGACACGTTACCTGATAGATTCAAAAGACCGAAGAGTCGTTAGATAGAGACAAGATTAATTAAATATCACTTTGACAACTATAGTGAGATGTGATCCAGCGGTACATCCTTGATTAACTCCCCTACAAAATCATCCCAATCAATCTAAAATGATTGATTAATTACGGTATCTTGTGAAATATCGCAATATAAATTGCATAAAATCAAAATATCGCAATGTACGTTTCTTCCAATATCGTGTGATTCATGAGCTGCTCTAATTGGTAATGCTGCATTTATTTGTAAAGAAAAATATACAAAAAATGTGGAATTTTGTGAAATATTATTTAAATTTAAATATTTTTAATAATTATTAATCATTTTCCAATGTAATAAATTTACATTTTTAACGTGACACAAAGCAGATGGTTTTTGGCATTTGTGATTTGCTGTTCATGTTTTTATTATAAAATGATTGGTAAAATAAAAAAAAGAAAAAGAAATAAACACTTCCGTGTTGGCGTGGGTTTTCTACAGACCAAACACATGCGCTACAGGTGAATTGGGTAAACAAAATTGGACTTAGCGTATGAGTGTGTGTGTGAATGTGAGAGTGTATGGGTGTTTCCCAGTACTAGGTTGCGGCTGGAAGGCCATCCACTGAGTAAAGCATATGCTGGAATAGTTTTCGGTTCATTCTGCTGTGGCAACCCCTGATAAATAAGGGACTAAGCTGAAGGAAATTTAACGAATAAAGGAATAATCGAGCAACAAATCATTATATTAGAATAATTTCTGAAGGATCGTGCAACACCGAAACCTGGAACTAAAAAAGCAAAAAAACTAACAAGAATAAAATTAATTTGTTCTCACACGAATAAATGACATTGTAAATATGTATTACGATAGAAAACAATATTACTGCATTACAAACACGTTTGGTGCGCACAACAAACTTTCTTCAAATAAAAAAGTTTAATTATAATCGTCAACGGGCGACTCAATGGCACAGTGGGTAGCTCGATCGCCTCGCAGCAAGAAGGTCGCTGGTTCGAGCATTAGCTGGGTCAGTTGTCATTTTTGTGTGGAGTTTGCATGTTCTCCCCGTGTTCGAGTGGGTTTCTTCTGGGTGCTTCGATTTCCCCCACAGTCCAAAGACGTGCACTATAGGTGAATTGGGTAGGCTAAATTGTCCGTAGTGTTTGTGTGTGAATGAGTGTGTATGGATGTTTCCCAGTGATGGGTTGCAGCTGGAAGGGCGTCCGCTGCGTAAAACATATGCTGGATAAGTTGGTGGTTCATTCCGCTATGGGGACCCCTGATGAATAAAGGGACTAAGCCGAAAAGTAAAGGAATGAATGAATGAATTATTGTCAACAGTATATTGCAGTATATTAGTTTAATTTACGAGATATTTCATACCCATGCTTTATTGACCTTATTAATACACTAGGGGCATGGTAACTACTAGCTAGTTTGTAACTAAATGTGTTCTCACTTCGGTTGCACCACATGTTCTTAAGACAAAGTGTAGTTAGTAGGTCGTAAGCTCTCCGTAAAGTCTTACATAGTCGCATTGAATGACATAATTTCCAATAAAATATGCGTAAATGTAGCGTTACGTTTAAACTAAGTTCAGTGGTGCAGCACAACAAAATTTAGTAGTGTGTAAGTTGTAACTGTGGCTGCGTCTGAAACCGTATACTTCTATACCATAGAGTGCGCTAAAATCAGTATGCGAGCCGAGTAGTATGTCCGAATTCATAAAATGCGAAAATCCGTATTCGAGAAGTATCCGAATGACCTACTACTTCCGGCGAGATTCTGAAGTGCGCATCCCATGCATGCTTCGCTATCCCATGATGCCCTGCGAGAGAATTCATGAATGGAAGTAAAGCGACGCAACTGACGTGGGTAGGTCAGGTGACCATCACAAAATGGCGGATGTAGTTTGTCCGAATTCCATTAATACTGCTCACATTTATACTATATCGAAGGTACTTTTCTAACCGTCGAGTAGTACGTTTAAATTCAAATGCAGTACCTATTGAGTAGTATGCGGTTTCGGACGCAGCCTCAGTGTCCCTTTAAATCACTTGAAACTTGCGCACTGCTAATGCAACCGGCCCTTGGTCTCATTCACTTCCATTGTTTTTTAGACGTTAAAACAGCTTGTTATGTTGCAAACTGAGAACGTCGTGTTGTATTATTCTACTTTTTATGTATAGTCATGAACACATTTGTTTGTATTAATTGTTTCTAATCATTTCTTCTGCATCAGAAGTTTCAAAACGATCTGAAAAAATGATCAAAAAATGATCTGACCATGTTGTTATCCTGCAGGCGGGGGCCTCCTCCATGTGGGCATCATGTTGCGGGCTGCTGAACGAGGTCATGGGCACTGGGGCTGTCCGCACTCAGCAGCCGGGCTTCGGAGCCGGAGCGGGACCGTTTCGATTCGCCCCGAGCGCTGGATACTCCACATACCCACCCAGCAGCACCACCTCAGGAAGCGCAGGCCTGGCGTGCAAAGCCTGCGGACTGGCCTTTTCTGTGTTCAGACGGAAGGTAGGATATAGTGTTGTTGTCACCATACTGGAATTTGTAACTTCGATACGATACCTTGAAGAATATTGATATTCAATACCATTTTTGATACTGTTTGTTTGTTTGTATACTTTATTGTCCCTCAAGGGGAAATTTTTCTGTAGACTCACCCAGCACTTCAGCAGGTTCTGACACAATAACAATTTAAAAGAATAAGTCAACATGCAAAAGAATTACACACACTATTGTTCAGTGTTCAATAGTCTGATTGACACTGGAATCAGGGCCGGATTAACCAATGGGCCTTATGGGCACAGGCCCAGGGGCCCGTGCACACTAGGGGCCCCTGCGAGGGGGGAGAAAAAAAGACAATTTCGCGATTGTCTTTTTAGGCTAATTGCAATTAGCGCATCTAGATGGAATAAACTATTCAGGGTTTACGCCCATCGATGCCTGATTGATAGAGACAAGATGAGTAAAGAGCTGGGTAGCATTACAGCTCCAGTGGCGCACCTTGTAAGGCACACAGTCTCATCTTTTGACGCGTATAATCATCAACTCGGTTCGAATCCACCAACAGCTGAACTCGTGCTACTTTTTTTTCTCCCCATTACATATCAGATTTTAAATATATTTATTTTTAATAGTAAGGAAATATTTTATAAAAATAATACAAATTGTGATATAAAGTCACAAGTGTCTCGTGGGTATTTAATAATGTTTAGCCTTATTATAAGTGCCTCCCTCTCTGCAAAAACCATATTGCTCAGACAACTTTATTTCCTCTGAGCAAAAAAAATCGCGATCAAGTATTAATATTATTATTATATTTAAATTGCCTTCTTTCTTTAACTAAACAGAATGCTGTAATTGGTCAAGCGCGGAAACGTCAGTTTTGTAATAACCCGCGCTTAACTGAGCGGACTTTAGTATAACGTTATATCTGTCATAGATCAAAAATGAGTGGACAAGTGGATTTAGCAAACGCAAATCTTTGTAGACTATAAATACATATGTACTATATATCATTTATTTAAATATGTGGGCAACAAATTATAGATTCATTTTATTTAAAAATTATTATATTATTCTTATTTTTTAAATTCAACTATAGGGGTGCAGCCAGGTAGGGGGCCTTACAAGACAATGTGCCCAGGGGCCCCTGAGTTCTTAATCCGGGCCTGACTGGAATAAATCTGTTCTTAAATCTGTTCCGTTTCCAGCAGAAGAAAAAAAAATCTACTAAATTAAATGTAGTGCTTTGAAAGGCCTGGAAAGTACTTAAAAACAAACATAGGTCTTTGAAAGTGCTTGAATTAAGTTTGAAATGGAATATGTTTATAGTGTTATGTCAGCAACTGCTGTCATGGACAGAACTACAATATGATAAATTCTTGATTTAAAAATCTTATATTTAAACAAGAACTATGGGGCGGCACGGTGGATTAGTGGTTTTGGCACTGTTGCCTCACAACAAGAAGGTCGCTGGTTCGAGTCCCGGCTGGGCCAGTTGACATTTCTGTGTGCATGTTCTTCCTGTGTTGGCATGGGTTTCCTCCGAGTCCTCCGATTTCCTCCACAGTCCAAACACATGCGCTATAGGGGAATTGGATAAACTAAATTGGCTGTAGTGTATGAGTGTGGGTGTGAATGTGAGAATGTATTGGTGTTTCCCATACATTAAGTGAAACATAAACTCACTGGCCACTTTATTAGGTACAGCTGTCCAACTGCTCGTTAACGTAAATTTGTAATCAGCCAATCACATGGCAGCAGCTCAATGCATTTAGACATGTAGAACTGGTCAAGACGATCTGCTGTAGTTCAAACTCAGCATCAGAATGGGGAAGAAAGGGGATTTAAGTTACTTTGAACGTGGCATGGTTGTTGGTGCCAGACGGGCTGCTCTGAGTATTTCAGAAACTGCTGATCTACTAGGATTTTCATGCACAACCATCTCTAGGGTTTACAGAGAATGGTTTGAAAAGGAGAAAATATCCTGTGAGCGGCAGTTCTGTGGGCGCAAATGCCTTGTTGATGCCAGAGGTCAGAGGAGAATGGCCAGACTGGTTCCAGCTGATAGAAAGGCAACAGTAACTCAAATAAGCACTCGATACAACTGAGGTCTGCAGAAGAGCATCTCTGAACACACAACACGTCCAACCTTGAGGCGGATGGGCTACAGCAGCAGAAGACCACACTGGGTGCCGCTCCTGTCAGCTAAGAACAGGAAACTGAGGCTACAATTCACACAGGCTCACCAAAACTGGACAATAGAAGATTGGAGAAACGTTGCCTGCTCTGATGAGTCTCCATTTCTGCTGCCACATTCAGATGGTAGGGTGAGAGTTTGGCATCACCAACATGAAAGCATGGATCCATCCTGCCTTGTATCAACGGTTCAGGCTGGTGGTGGTGGTGTAATGGTGTGGGGGATACTTTCTCGGCACACTGTACTCAAGTGGCCTCCACAATCACCAGAACTCAATCCTATTGAGCACCTTTGGGATGTGGTGGAACGGGAGATTCACATCACGGATGTGCAGCTGATAAATCTGCAGAAACTGCGTGATGCTATCATGTCAATATGGAGCAATATCTATGAGGAATATTTCCAGTATCTTGTTGAATCTACGCCATGAAGGTTTTAGCCAGTTCTGAAGGCAAAAGGGCGGCCCAACCCGGTACTAGTAAGGTGTACCTAATAAAGTGGCCGGTGAGTGTATTTCATGAATGAGATTTTATTGATTTTAATATTTTTGCTGGTCATGAAAACAATCTATTTATATGTGTAATGATCAATAAAGAAACGCTAGTTGTCCCTTTAGAAACTTAGTGAAATGAACAACCCCAAATTTTCAGGGGAACCCCCATCACGTGGAGCTGCACTGCAGTGCTTACCTTGCACACCAGTTTGCTACGCCATTAGAAAAACACATTTTGTCCTCTTGCTAGTGTGTATAGATGTACATCATTCATAGTTTAGTTTTAAATATAGAAAATTGATTGGTCAGGAGCAACAATGAGGTGCAGGAATCCCTAATGTTTATAACTCAGACACGCCTCATTTTCTAGCAAAGCTTATGTGTGATAAAAGATCCGAGCGTTCACTTTTCCACAAAGCATCAGTGTTTTGAAATCCTATCAGCTCTTCCACAGCTGTCTGCAGACGCTCATATCCACAGGCGTGATGGATGGACCTGACATTCACCCAGAGTGCAATGCTTTGACTGAACCGCTCATTCGTCAGCATGGTGGCATTTGATAACAACCAGCCGGCAAACACACACTGCACAACTGCTGCTCAGAACTGGGAGAGAAATGAAGTCCTGAAAAATGAAGTGATTTGGAGATGCTGTTCTTATTGTTTTTCTTACTGAGTCATTGTAAGGTGGAGTTTAAAGGGCCATAAAACCCCCTCGTTTCAGCAGGGTGTTTTCACACCTTGGAAAAAGTCAGAAAAGTGGGCGTGTCCAGCTCTGTTTAGGGGGGAGTGTCGGAGGAAGAAAAGTGGGATGGTGTGGGAGTGTCTATTTGGGCAGGCGCGAGTTTCAGAGTCAAAATACATACACACAGTAGAAAGTGATGGTGTTTAACCTACATGGACATCTGTAGTCGAATTATTTGCCAAATTATTTAATGGTGGACTTTAACTGCAGTTTGGCTCTTTCATTCAGGGAATTCATTCATGCCCCTCGCGACACACGAGATATTTGATTCGAGGAGCTGCTCTAAGCGTGTATTTTTCATGCAATGTTTGATACCGCACGGCGAATGAGAGAAAAAAACCCTCCGCATTTCCCAGAAACTTAGATGCACACGACAGGTAGCGTCAGAAAGCCGTGTGTGTTATTCCGGTCACTAAATGCGGTAAAAACCCTACACGAGGTTAAAGTTTGGTTGTGGTGCTAACGTGTTTACACTCTGTGCAATAGTTTGTTAGATACGAACAAACTGAATAAACACTGAGCACTGGTCGCTCACTTAACAAATCTGTAGAGACAGGACAATCACCAGCAACTAGAGCCGCGTCTTTATGAAGAGAATACTACAAGCGAATCCAGATCTCAGTGTTTGCAGATGAGAACAGCTCTCAGGTAAACAATGTTCCTCCTTAGACACGTAAGTTATTGTTGTCGCGCGTCGCGTACACTGTAATCCACACGTGAGTCTGAACTCTCACAGAGAGAAAATGAAAACGAAACTTAACTGCAGCAAACTATAAAAGCAACACTTCACGCTTGTTTTGCCAACACAACGTGGCGTCTCTGTCCTGAAAACACGGTGATAGTAATGAATATTAATGAAGTTGCACAATAGAGCGCGCTGATTGGTTTGAACCAAGCCTTACTCATGCATTAATGCAACACACTGTAAGACGTAATAAGACTCACTCTGGCACAGACGCCCAGTCTGCACACTGGAATGCACGCTATTTTGTCATGACCGTGACGCAGCTTCAAAAATTTGTTTCAAACCAGAAGTATGAATTTGCTTGAAATACCGCAAAAACAACCAATTTACACTTTTTAGTGAAATATAGGTGTCCTGATAGTGTTTTTAGCAGTGTGGGACACATATACGACTGTCAACAGCTCAAAAAATGTGTTTTGGTGTTTCGTGACCCTTTAAGTAAAGTGTGCGGTGCATATAGAGAGGAGAGTGTTCCTACAGGTGGTTTGTCAAGCCCACTCGCTGGTGTGAGGCACACTCAGATACAGTGTTTACATAATAAACACAATCAGAAACACTTATTGCAATTTAAGGGTTTACGAAACCCTCAAGTACTTTTTCTGAGATATTAACAGGTTTGTGTGTGTTGAGCATCAGTTAAGACAATGTCAGCACCTGTCAGCTTTAATTGTGGGAAAAACTGGATAATTTTAAGCCTTTGTCTGCTAATTTCAGCTTCCGGGTTTAAAATGATTTTTGGGGTGGATCAAAATCAGTGACGTAGCGCAGAACTACAAGTGCAAAGATGACAAGTCAGTTTCTCATTATTATTCATAGCGAAGTTTTATTATCTTATGAGAAAAGCCTGCTTCTTAATTATTCATGACTGCACGTGCTTTCCGAAGGCAGACCTGCCAGTGCCAAGCTGTGAGAATCTATGTTGATGACTGCGTGAGACCGCATCCAAGGACCCACAGCACACAGTATTTAGCTGTTCATTAGGGGTCGTATGTGTTTGTTTCCATGATCCACGGGGCTTATTGCATGTTTTTCCTCGCGATCCTGTCAGGGCCAATACAGCAACGATGTTTGTGTGCAGTAAGCATTTTTGTCTGGAGAGCAGTACGAGTATGGCGGAAAATGGCGGACTTTGTCCTTTATCAGTGAAGTTTGTTCACATTTAAACACATCGCCGTGCTGCTGTGTTTGCCTAAATCCTCCTGATTACCAGCAGGGCTAATGGTTAAAATAGACAGGGCAAGAGACCTGCTGCACTGAGTCTGCATTCAGACCTGTGATTCAGACCCGGGGATTGAGGGAGAATCCTCATTTATAGTGTTTATATGAACACATTTATCTTTATAATGATATAAATTGTGGTTGTGTGTATATGAAATGACAAATGTAGCAGGGCATTAAATAACTGTTTATTTCTTTGCATTTTAACTTTGTAAATTATAAATTCATGCGTCTCCTCACGGTTTGTGTCTCATTTTGTGAGCCGACTGACAACAGTTGTTCGCTCACCGCCTTCTCCCCTGTTCTGCTGGCCACGCCCACTCCTGCCCTTTGCTCGCGGAGCTCCACGCCCACTATGATGCATCTTTTGAAAAAATTCTGAGGTAGGCCTGAACCGAAATTGGGGGGTGTCATGGTCCTTTAAGGTTGTCATTTACTACTACCTTGTGAATCAGTGGGCGGAGATAAACAGGCAGAGATGTTGTATGCGTTAATCTTCTCAGGAGTTTATCCACATGATTAAGGCCCTGTTTACACTAGTGCATTTTAGTTTTAAAACGGCGTTTTAGAATGAAAACGATCCGCGTCCACACTCGCGTTTCACTCAGCGTTTCTGAACTGCTCTCCGTCCACACCAAAACGCTGAAAACGCACATCACGTGACCACACACACACTCTCAGGCAAGCGCTGCAGCCCATCTACCCAGATGAGAGCTCTGCTAGTCGGACTTCTCATCAAGCATCTCCCGCTGGATCTAATCTCACTATATTTATTAAACGTGATATTTCATTCATCTTGTTGTCTTAATCTAACGACATATTTCCTGGTTTTGGTCACTGGAATCTATTACTTGTTCTCAGGTAACGTGTTTTGGCTGAGCGCAAAGATAAGTTAATGATTAATGTTAGCACGTACATTCTGTATATTGACTGATCGCTTGCCTTTATTTCCTATAATGTATAAACTTATTGTATGTTATACTTTTATAATGGCCATTATCGATTAAAACTGATATTCACCAAAAGAGAGGGTGTGTTTCGTATTTTCACTGAAATTGAAAGGAGGCAGTTGTTGTAGGCTCCGTTTTGTTATAAATATCCACACAGTGAAGATGACGTTCATATATGCAGCACGGCGCTTAAACATTTCTGCTGTCTGTTAAGTTGCTAATATTAAAATGAAAATAGGCAGTTCCTTATATCATGTTTACATTTTATTGTTGAGAAAGTGAAACAACGTAGCCAGGGTGATGTGAATGAAGTTATAAAGTACACTGTTCCCTTTGAAGATTTACCCGTGTCCTCGGTATAGTCTGCTTTCTATATCAAACTGAAAAGAAGAGATGCAGCCATGATCAAACTTGCGAAGTTTTAACTTACACGGAGAAGATGCAGGACTGAACTGTGTGTGTAGGCAACTTAATATTGAGGAAAAACCCCAATCAGAGAGGCGAATGTCTGCAGTCCCGCCTCCGTTTTCAGATGTCTCAGTTTTCCATCATCTACACTGAGACGGAGCAGCAGCGTTTCAGAATGAAAACAGCCTCTCCAGCGTTTTCGAAACGCTCCGTTTTCGGCGCTCGAGAACTCCGGCGTAGTGTGGACGGATGGCGTAACCGTAGCAAAACTTATGCGTTTTCAAACTAAAACGCATTAGTGTAAACGGGGCCTCAATGGGGCTGAACAGTATATCGCTTGGGCATGGATATCACAATGTGTTTAACTTCAATAGTCACGATTATTTATTAAAGATTAACAGATACAGATATTATTAAATATTATTATTTTTCATTATTTATACAATAATGACCATGTTATTTTACATTGGATTGCTCAATTTCTGTACTTGAATACTGTTGGACTCCCCAGAAAACCGTAAAGCACTGTTTATTTATGTACTTTTGTTTGTAATTGTCTAAAAAGTACACAGATGCACTGCATATAAAAAGATCTAAGTTAATGAAATCTTTCGGAATAGAGATATTAAAATAGTTTAGTGAAATTATATTCATATATCAATTTATATATATCGAGGCAAAACAAAATAAATCCTTTTCCAGTATCGTGCAGACCTACTATACAATAATACATTCGTTATTCATTCATTTTCCTTTGGCTTACTCTCTCTGCACAAGACTTTTGGCCAGCGGAGAAATTAAAATGGTCGTGCCGAACTGAGTCTGGTTCTCTCAAGGTTTTTTTTCTTCACTCTCCTATTGGTGAAGTTTTTTTTCCCCTCTCCGCTGTCGCCACTGGCCTGCATGGTTCAGGATCTGAAAAGCTACTCATCGATGGATTTGCCATTCAGTGTTTGGACTCTCAATAATGACTTCAAATCACACTGAACTGAGCTAAACTGAACTTAAACACTAAAAACTGAACCACCCTGATCCAGTTACTATGACCATTAATGTGAAGCTGCTTTGACACAATCTACATTGTAAAAGTGCTATACAAATAAACCTGAATTGAATTGAATTGAATAATTCAGAGGTTGTCACAGTGGAATGAACCGTCAACTATTCCAGCATATGTTTTAAGCAGCAGATGCCCTTCCAGCCGCAACCTAGTGCTAGGAAACACCCATACACACTCATTCCCACACACACACTAATATACTATGGCCAATTTAGCTTACCCAATTGACCTATAGCGCATGTGTTTGGACTGTGGGGCAAACCGGAGCACCCGAAGGAAACCCACGCCAACATGGAGAGAACATGCAAACTCCACACAGAAATGCCAACTGGCCCTGCTGAGGCTCAAACCAGCGACCTTCTTGCTGTGAGGCGACAGTGCTAAACACATGTCATGTGAAAGTTTTTTTTTTATGTGCAAAGAAAAACTTTTCCAATGTGTGAACAGTCCTGAAACTTCCAGGATGTTTATTTTTGACCGCTCACATGTCAAATATCAACGGAAGGTAGATTTCTCAATTCATCTCTCTCTTTTACAGCACGTCTGCTCCGACTGCAAGAAGAGCTTCTGCTCGCTGTGTTCGGTGCTGCAGGAGAATCTGCGGCGCTGCTCCACCTGCCACCTGCTGTGGGGAACGGCCTTCCAGCGGCCCCGGCTCATGCGGCTGCGCGTCAGAGACCTGCGGCAGTACCTGACGCTGCGCAACATCAACACCGACACCTGCAGGGAGAAGGAGGACCTGGTGGACCTGGTGCTCTGCCATCTGGGCGCTGAGCTGGAGCTGGGGGAGGACGAGGAGGAAGAGGAGGAGGAGGAAGAGGAAGCGGATACGGACAGTCTGCCGTCACTCCCGCGCTCGCTCTCCACGCCGCCGGCCTCTGCAGCGCGCTCGTCCTCCCAGCAGTCGGCGCTGTCTGCGGCCGCGTCTCAGGGAGAAGCTCTCAGCCGCAGCGATAGCTCAGGGACAAACAATCAGGTGAGGCAGATTTTTAATATTATTTTATTTTATTTGAAGTTTTTATATTAAATGGCACGTTAACTGTCTTTTTCTATGCATTACATTACCACAATTTTATTTTATTTATTTGTTTTTTATTATTTTATTTTGTATAATTGCCTGATGCCATTTATCAAGACTTTTATAATAAAACTTATTTAAAAATATTAAAAGTGACAAAATATATTTATTATATAGTATATATACACTACCTGACAAAAGTCTTGTCGTTGATCCCAGCTGTAAAAGCAACAAATAATAACCTGGCTTCTAGTTGATCATTTGGAAAAGTGACAGAAGGTGGATTTTTCAGATGAATCATCTGTTAACTGCATCCCAATCATTACAAATACTGCAGAAGACCTACTGGAACCGCCATGGAGCCAAGATTCTCACAGAAATCAGTCAAGTTTGGTGAAGGAGAAATCATGGTTTGGGGTTACATTCAGTATGGGTGCGTGCGAGAGATCTGCAGAGTGGATGACAACATCAACAGCCTGAGGTATCAAGATATTTGTGCTGCTCATTACATTACAAACCACAAGAGAGAGACAATTCTCCAGCAGGATAGCGCTCCTCATACTTCAGCCTCCACATCAAAGTTCCTGAAAGCAAAAAAAGTCAAGCGGCTCCAGGATTGGCCAGCCCAGTCACCAGCCATGAACATTATTGAGCATGTCTGGGGTAAGATGAAGGAGGAGGCGTTGAAGATGAATCCAAAGAGTCTTGATGAACTCTGGGAGTCCTGCAGGAACGCTTTCTTTGCCATTCCAGATGACTTTATTAATCAGTGATTTGAGTCAGTGCAGAGATGTATGGATGCAGTCCTCCAAGCTCATGATGGAGTCAGACACAATATTCATTCTGTGTCCACTGCAGCAGGACTTTATATTCTATACTGGACATTATTTCTGTTCAGTGATGAGACTTCTGTCTAAGCAGAGTCCGACTTTATTTCTTAATTATGAAATCATTCAAAATCAAGGCATGATCATATTTTATTGTGGTCAAATATGTGTAATCTAGAGGCCTTTGCCTTTCATATAAGCCACTTTTGAAACCAAATGATCAACTAGAAGTCAAGGTATTATTTGTTGTTCCTAAAACTTGGATAGGCGACAAGACTTTTGTCAGGTAGTATATATATATATATGTCAGCCAATCAGATTCAAAAACCAGACAGAACTGTTGTATAAATATATGTATATACAAATAGTAGTAGACATCGGATAAAAATTGATTATTCATAGATACTAAAATAAAAATCATATTAAACAGACAAATCAAGTACGGGCAATAAATCAGGCAATTTAAATCGAGTATTTTAGATAGTATTTTAGATTATCTATGTTTTATTTTAAATTGTTTATATAATAGAAAGGCTCTTGGATGATTTTTAAGCTGGTTTGTTTGCTTGCTAATTTTTGTGAGCAATATGTTGAAAGCACTGTTCACACATTTATGTGGAGACACGTTTCATTTCTTCTTGAATATTTTTAAAAACTGCTCATTGTATCACTTGTTTTAATATGCCTGCCCTGCCGTTAACATGCATCCTGCATTATAAATGTTGAACAGTTGAAGCATGCTAAATGTGCTGAAGTGAGCTATTTTCAGAATGCTGTTCACTTTCTATTTCTTCACAATCTTCCACATTTTTGCCCCCTGATCTGTTGACTTCTGCTCTCTGTGCAGTTATTAATCTGCTTACAGCCCTCGGTCACTAAACATTCATTCATTCTGATGGGTTTTAATGCGACGTGACGTGTGGATGCTGAAAACAGCTGTACCCCACGAGGCTTGCTGTGACGGTTAAGCCTTTTTTTTAGATCTGACTTGCTGAGCATCTTACGTAATGCTGGAAGGTCGTCTGGTAATTCCTGCGTGACGCAACGTTCAGATTAACAGAGCAGACGTGAAAGTTCCTAGGAGGTGAATGACTAGGTTTGATAGCTAAGCAGTTTTAAAGGGAAGATATTATGTCTCTTTTTCATAATGTTTAAAAAAAAATAATAATAATAATAAAAAATCGCGTTAGACTTTCTCATTGTCTGTCATTTTGACGGAGAGAGTTGTAAAAATTCCGTCATAACCTATTACTGCCCGTCATTTAATTTGCATATTTTTTAAATCGCTTTTTTTATTCATATCATATTTTAATCATGAACTTGCAAATAGGCTAAATTATTAATTTATTTATTTGACAAATAAACAAAAACTCTAACTCTAATTTATTGTTCAACAGTTTCAACAATGTTTTTTTTGCACTGACAGCGGAGGGAATTAAAACACGACCATTTGTGCCTGAACACAGGCAGATATAAACAACAAAATATATTACAAAATATAATTCAGACTAAAATAAGAACATAACTTAAAAATATAACTATTCAGACGATGTTCTGTAGGTCTATTTGCCTCAACTCAAATCTTCCTCCTGGTCCGCGTCGACCTGAACTGGGTGCTTGCCTGTGTGTAATCAAACGCATCAAGGGAGACTGATGCAGAGGCAGTTGTCATTAAATTCTGTGTCTTTGCCTCAGAAAGTCGACTTCTCGTGACAGTTTTAATTTTGCTCTTTTATATATATATATATATATATATATATATATATATATATATATATATATATATATATATATATATATATATATATATATATATATAATCTGGTGTTTCCAGAATGTCTGTAAAGTTTCAACTCAAAATCCTTTCGCTTGTAAAGTTTCCACCTGTTTGGATGTGAGCAAAAATACACTGTTTTTGTATGTGTCCCTTCAAATGCGAATGAGCTGCTGCTTTTCAGAAGAGGGGTGGAGCCTTTGCATGCTATAGTGGCATTTAATTGCTATTTACGAAAGAGATAGTGACTTCATTCATTCATTTTCCTTCAGATTAATCCCTTATTAATCAGGGGTTGCCACAGCGGAATGAAGAGTTTTTCAGGCGTGAATGTAGTTGTTTTAAACTCGAATCGGCAGTTTATTCACAAAGATAGCGTGTCTTTGACGACATGCCTCATGCGTTTTCAAACTAAAACGCATTAGTGCAAACAGGGCCTAAGTTTTGCTACGGTCACGCCATCCATTCACACTACGCCGGAGTTTTCGAGCGCCGAAAACGGAGCATTTTGGAAACGCTGAAGAGGCTGTTTTCATTCTGAAACGCTGCTGCTTCGTCTCAGCGTGGATGAGGGAAAACGGAGACACCTGAAAATGGAGGCGGGGCCGCTGAGATTTGCTAGCTGATTAGGGCTTTAGTGTCATTGCGTATCCTTCTCTTATTCGTCAAGCCCCTATCACATGACTATAATACATGGCTTTAACGCTACCGGAAGACAGCAGACCAGCCTTCACTGTAAACAACAACATGGACACAGAAATGGGAGCGTTGTTTGCACTATTGTCTGTTTTAGGCGCCATCGTGCAGTTATTCATTTGTTACGTTTAGTAACAACTCGACCTTGTTGTCTGTCCACAAAAATACCTTTTTGGCAGCTTTACATCGACCAGTCCATCTCGGATGTACCGCTGGATCTCACCTGTCAATTGTAGTTAATACATGATATTTAATACATCTTGTCCATATCTAATGGACAGTCTTTGGTCTTTTGAATCTATGATTTGTTCTCTGGTGTATTATTTTGGCAGTGTTATTTCGTTACCTTTTTTTAATTGTCTTTAATTATGTTACCAAGTTGTCGGCGCCAGTGGTGTAGTGGTTAGTGCGTTGACACATGCACTCTGGTGCTCGCGGCGACCCGGGTTCTATTCTGCCTCGCGGTCCTGTGCTGATCCTTCCCCTCTCTCTGCTCCCCATGCTTTCCTTTCAATTATCTCTACTGTCCTATCAAAAATAAAGATGAAAACCCCCAAAAAATAATTATTAAAAAAAAAAATTGTTACCAAGTTGAACACTATTTAACAAACTGCTTTACGTTATCTATATTTCTTATTGTTTACATCTTGTACTTCATACTTGTATAATGTCCATTGTAGCTTATTAAATCTGATAATTAAAGGCACATGTCTGTGTATAACAACACATTTTACTTCACATTTTTATGGATTTATGTTTACAATTTCCTAAATCAAAAATGTAGATTTATAATATAAATATAATATTAATTACAGGGCCGTGTTTTATATAATTAAATCATTTTATTCTTTATGTACTGTGAAACCGATGAATCCATGGTGAGGTTAGTGACATTATAAAGTACACTGCCGTTCCATTTAAAGAAGTACCCGACTTGTGTCCTCGGGAGGTCGTTCTTTCAAGTCGGAACTTGGCAAGTCTGAACTTCCAAGAACGGTGGAATTGAGAAACAGCCAATGTCAGCCTGTGACGCGCTTCCTATATTGTTTACCGCTACTCTGAATATTGTAATATGGCTTAGTAATGAGTGTAATTCCTGCACGCTGCAGGCCAAACACTAAGCATACAGTAGTTGCTTTAGGACAAAGCGCGTGAGAGAGTGAGACGTGAAATATTGCACAACTGTAAACGTCCCAGATATAACACAGTTTTTCATTCAGAATTGTACCATTATAAAGTACTATAAAGGTTTCTAAGTGGTGAATGACATGAAGTAGTCGGTTGTCTACTGTCACTTTTAAGGTGCACGCTTAATTTTACGGGACCTTTAAACAGGGCATAAGTCTGATCTTTATGATATGTCCCATTTAAAGTGTGTGTTGGCTAGGGGAGACGGTGAGTTAGCAGACTGACCCATTTATTATTAATACGGTGCTGCACGGCGTCCGCATGTGGCCCTTGTGAGAGATCTCAGTCCATGTGCTTCCTCATAAACACACAGTCATTCTTCAGGCGGACAGGAGCAAACGCAGGGCCATTAGCTAATTGTTCTGAATGCGGCAAATAGTAAAAGACAGGAAGAAAACCATCCATGCAGTGCTGCTGCTGCATCCTTATGTGGATGAAGACACCAGGAACCAGTCACTGCAGTCCATGATTGAATCTGTAATGTGTCCAGTCAGTCAGTGGATGATAATAGTGAGAATGTGATAGGTGGGAAATTAAATATGCACGATTCTGGCTAAAATGAGAATCACACTGAGAGCTCTAACTCTCGATCTCTGTGTTTAACTTCTTTCTTCAGGATCATGGAGATGCTGCGTCAGTTTCCCTCCTCAACCTGGAGTCTCATGACGACATGCTGGAGGTGAGAATAAAAAAGTTTATTTCTGCTGGAAGCAGTCTGCGCTGAGCGACTGAATGAGGATTGGGTTTACTTTAAAACCCCTCGATTCTCACTGAGGCTCCATTAACATTAATAATTCATCCGACACTTCTGCTTGGTGTTTGGCAAATACTTGAGAAGAGCATCTGCAGGAGCAGATCAGGAGCAATCTGCTGTAAATGCAGCTGAACTTCTAAAAATGGTTAAAAGCAATTATTATTATTATTATTGTTAAATAATAATAGTAACAACAACTTATCCAAAGTTTAAACGTTAATTTTGCATAAAAACTATATTAATGTAACCCACCGGTCCTACTGCACCCAACCCGCTGCAAGCTGGTATCGAACCTGCAACCTTCCGCATGGGAGTCGGTTGCTCTACCAAGAAGGCTATTGTCAAAGAAAAGCTTTGAAAGCTATTGTCGCTAGAGCACCTTTAGAGGTCAGAGGAGTGAGGTTTACCTGCACAGCACCTACTAGCTGCCCTCCGTTACATTAATATTTATAAGAATATGGCATATTTTTTGTTATTTTGACTAATTGTTATTAAATGTTCTCGATGATTTTCAGACCAGCGCAACCCTAATTTTCCTGCTTTGCGCCACATTGTTTAAATAGCAAATCCATTTGTGAGTTGCACTTTACATTAAGTTTGCATTAGTTAATCGCCACAGAGGAATGAACCGCTAATCAATCCTGCATATGTTTTATGCAGCGGATGCACTTCCAGTTGCAACCCAGTACTGGGAAACACCCATACACTGTCACATTCACACTTATACACTACGACCAATTTAGTTTATTTAATTCACCTATAGCGCATGTGTCCAATGTGGGGGAGCACCCGGAGGTAACCCACGCCAACAATGGGAGAACATGCAAACTCCACACTGAAAAGTCAACTTTCCCAGCCAGGACTCGAACCAGCAACCTTCTTGCTGTGAGGCACTGAGTTACCATACCGGCCTTTGTTTAGAGATGTGTTTACCAGAAATTGGGGGAACAAATATCCAGGAGGGCTAATAATTCTGACTTATTGTGTGAACAGGCGAGTCCAGCGACACAGCGGCGCGCTCGAGCCTCGCTCTCGGATCTGGCCCACGAGGACGACATTGAGAGCCTCACAGTGCGGCAGCTCAAGGAGATTCTCGCACGGAACTTCGTCAACTTTTCCGGCTGCTGTGAGAAGTGGGAACTGGTGGAGCGAGTCCATCGCCTGTACAGAGAGAACCAGCTCAACAGAAGATCCAGTAAGAGTCACTGCCATGCATTAAACCACCTGCACACTGAGATGTTTGTCCATATTTAAGGGATGGTTCACCCAAAAAATGAAAACGTCCTGTTAATTTACTCACCCAAAGCAGGCCACCCAAGATGTGGGCGACTTTTTTTTTCCTTCAGTAGAACATTGAAGAAGAGCTGAATATGTGGTGCTTGGTGATTGATATAATAGTAGTGAATGGTGACAGGTTTTTAAATTAAAACTAAACACATACAAACAAGTCTAAATCAATAGTCGTGGCTCCTGATGACACACTGGGCTTTATTTTGACGGTCCATGCGCAGAGCGCAAAACGCAGGGCGCAAACACTTTCAGGGCGTGTCAGAACGCATTTTTGCTAATTTAAGGATGGGAAAATCCGTTTTGCACCGTGGCACATGGTCTAAAAGGGTTGAGTTTATTATTTCTTAATGAGTTATAGGTGTGTTTTGAGAATAAACCAATTAGAGTCTCATCTCCCATTCCCTTTAAGAGTCAGCTGCGTCACGCCATAAGCGCATTCGCTATTTACAGGACGCAAAGTAAGTCTAAGTGGAAAAACTGAGCATTTCACAAGCAAACAGTTAACAGTTTTTAACAGAAAACTGTTAAACAGAGCATCTACTGCGTGAGAATGAGAGATGATGGATCTACTTTCACTTTCGCTCTTGGATAGGGAAACCTTTACGCACAGACATCAATTAGTCTATAAATAAATAATTTTGTTTGTTCAGCGCAAATATTCGTTTCAAAACTATTTCTAAATTCAGTTCTAATTTCCAGCAAACGAATAAATGAACAATAATAACAAAGTGTGCTCAAAAACCTGAGTTATATCCTAAAACACATGCTGTGCCCCATATGGTCTAAAACCTGACAGGTGGGCAAATCTAAGCTTGTTTTTAATAAAACAAATATAAATATGGATATAATAAATAATACTGCTAATAATAATAACATTATACAAAAGCAAATTGTTATGAATGAACTGAAAAAGCCTCCCGAGATGAAGAAGACATAAAAGTAGTGGTTTTTCATATTTATGTAGGCTAGAAAATAATATGTTTTGTAATATTTTAATCCTTTATATTTATATTCTATATCTAGTCTTATTATATCCTATATATATCCTTAATATTTAATTGTTTTCATATGTAAAGATATTTGCCTATTGCTCTCTTGTGCGTATTAAGCAGTGTGTAAGCGAGGCGCAACTCTACGCTGGAGTTTAGACCGGGTTAGTTTTGGTCTAATGAAAAATCTATTTAGTTTCTCAAAATAGCAACTCGCCAGCGGCCCGCCTCAGAACGCCTTCCTTTTTAGACCAGAACGTCTATGGGCGCACATATGAGCGCTAATGCATTTGCTATTTAAACAGTGTAGCGAAACGCCTCAAAACCACTCTTGCGCCAAGCTGAAACTAGCAAAAGACTACTGCGCCACATTGTGCCGGGTGTATGATAGGGCCCACTGAGTATGTTTAAATGGACACCTATAATTAGATTTTAATGTGATTAAGTCAATACTCTGATTAAGAGTCTACCATGTAAACAGCGATTTTTGATTAATTTAATCAGATAAAAGTCATAATCGAACTAAAGAGAAATCGAATTAAGACCAGTAGAGTATGCCAATTTCGGTCGCATTATTTAAGTGCATTACAGACATGTAAACACCTTAATCGGACTATTACTGTCATGTAGCACTTTTCGCCACGTTTTGCGACAGGTTAGAAAATGAAGCACCCTAAATTACATGAAACTCCGGAGGAAATGTGGATTGCGCGGTGACTTAATGACGTTAATCGAATTATGTGCTATAACATCTAAAACACAATCATGAAAGGAACTTTTAAAAAGCAACTCATGTAAATGCCTTAATCCTATTATTGTCTTAATTAGATTAAGGCAAATAATTACTGATGCGTTTGGATATAACTATTTTTTGACCACACTTCATTATTATTGTTTATTTATTCGTTTGCTGGAAATTAGAACTGAATTTAAAAATAGTTTTGAACCAAATCTCTGCACTTAACAAACAAAATTAAATATGTAGGCTAATGGATGTTTTCAGTGGAGTGAGTACAACAACGTTTCCTAACTACACCAAAGTAAAGGAGTAAAGAGAAAGTAAAGAGGCTGAATGGAGGAGGCTTGTTCTTTATTCTCGCGCTGCAGATGCTCTGTTTACCTGTTTTCTTGCTAGTGAAGAATGTTTTTGTTTTTTATTTATTTATTTATTTTTTCAGTTCAGTTTTTAAACAAAGTCCGCCATGTAAATAGCAAATGCATCATGGCGCGACACAACTGACTCTTAAAGGAATTGAGAGATGAGACTCTGATTGGACACGTTATGCCCAAAACACAGCCAGAACTTATTAAGAGGCACAACCCTGTTAGAGCATGCGCCAGGGCGAAAACCGTATTTTTCTGTCCTTAAAATAGCAAAAGTGGATTCAGACATGCCCTTAATGCTTTTGTGCTTTGCGCTTTAGACTTTGCACCTAGATCATTAAAATAGAGCCCGAAATGTGTGTGTGTGTGTGTGTGTGTGTGTGTGTAGAGCCCGAAATGTGTGTGTGTGTGTGTGTGTGTGTGTGTGTGTGTGTGTATGTGTGTATGTGTGTGTGTGTGTGTGTGTGTGTGTGTGTGTGTGTGTGTGTGTGTCAGTTCACTGCTTCATATAGAGGTGTGGAGCTAAAAAGGTGTTTTAGCATGATGTGCTGGCCTCAATTCTGACTGGTTGAATTTTTATACAACATAAAAAATACAGTTTTCAGCACAAATTATTTTAGCTTTCAACTTCAATGGTGAAGACTGGCAACTTTAAAGGGGGCATATTATGCAAAAATCACTTTCATAAGGGGTTTAAACACACTGCTTTGTGTGGAAGTAGTGTGTGAATATAAGCAGCTTGTAATGGTAAAAAAATTTTTAAGTGTATTGTTTATAATCAGACTTGATATAAACAGTCTGCAGAAACACTTTGATTGACATTCTCCCTTTGTATGCGTCATCAGAGGGGGAAAGCCCCACCCACTAGTGACCATCTCTCCCTTATTGGCATTGGACGTTAGTCCTGTTTTGAATCTGCCACTATGCTGACACACAGACATTTGTAGTTTCGCCCTCTTTTGAAAAGAGCTCAATCTCATTTGAATTTAAAGCGACAGTCGGCTCGATTCTGATCAAAGCCTTAAAGGGAAAGTTTCAAACAGTTATAAAACATTATTTGTGTTGTATTTCAAGCTCAAACTTCATACACACACACTTGGGACATCAGAGACTTATTTTACATCTTGTAAAAGGGGCATAATAGGTCCTCTTTAAGGGAACATATTTCAATAAAATGTTAAGCAGATTGATTTTGAGAGGAAGATCGATGTTGAGTCAGTGGAGCAGTTCATGTGCTGTTACTTATATAACAGCATTTGTATTATTCTGCTGGCTGTATAATTGGCAGAGTAATGAGAGGGAATGTCAGCTGTTGTAAATGTACAGAAGAGTTCAGACGAATGATGGATGAGAGAAACAACAGAGCTTTATCACAGTCCTCCAGTCTTTCTGACAGTCTTTTCTTTCTAATGCTAAAATCCAATCAGTCCAGCATCAGGCCCAAATCAGCATTTTCAAATAGGCTTGTGCACCGTAAAATTGATTCTTTGCTCTTTTTCTTTTTTTTTTGCAGTGGAAAATGTAAGCAACAGTCTTGCTGCAGGTAAGAAAACTCATTTCAGTCAATTGTACTTGACAGTGTTATATTGGTGTTTAATATGTTATATTAAATTGTATTTAAATAAGTTTTTATTATAATATTTTCAGCTTTTTTTTTAAATATTAGTCATGCACTTCAGTCATTTTTTATTATCTGTCATTTTTAATTATGTTTAAAATTATTTAATTAATTATATAATAAATGCTTTTTAAATCAATTATTATTTTATTATTAGCCGTGTTAAATTTTCATGTTGTTTTACTTCCATTGACGCAAAAGTAAAATTTTAATCTTTTATTATATTTTAGTGGTGGTCAAAGATTATTCGCAATTATTCACATCCAAAATAAAAGTGTTTTGACATAATATATGTGCTTGTGCTGTGTATATTTAATACTGCCACGGTAAAAACAGATTATATTAATTTCTGCACTGAGAATGTGCAAAAAAGGAAATATTCATCTATGCCAACAATAAACCATACATTACAAAGGACATTAAAGACTGTATTAAGAGGAAGAAGTTGGCCTTTCGTAATCATGACCATCAATGATTAAGAGTAATTCAGAAGGAGTTGAATGGACTATTAAGAGATGCTAGGAAAAAACATAAACAATGCTTGGAGAATAAGCTACATACAGTTGAAGTCAGAATTATTAGCCCCCCTGAATTATGAGACTTTTAGATCATTATATTATAATAATAATATTAGATAATTATATTAGAATATTTGACTGGATATTTTTCAAGACACTTCTATACAGCTTAAAGTGGCATTTAAAGGCTTAACTAGGTTAATTAGGCAGGTTAGGGTAATTAGGCAGGTTATTGTATAACGATGGTTTGTTCTGTAGACTATCGAAAAAAATTTAACTTAAAGGGGCTAAAATTTTTCTCCTTAAAATGGTGTTTAAAAAATTTAAAAGTGCTTTTTTTCTAGCCGAAATAAAACAAATAAGACTTTCTCCAGAAGAAAAAATATTATCAGACATACTGTGAAAATTTCCCTATTAAACATCATTTGGGAAATATTTTAAAAAAAGTTCTAAGAAAATCAAAGGGGGACTAATAATTCTGACTTCAACTGTATCTCTAATTCTAAACTATGGGACTTTATGAAATCTATATAAAATATGAATATGAAACATGACTATATGAAATATATTTCCAATATGCAGTAATTCTAATAGTTTCATAAAGTAAATTAGATTTTTGAAAGTCACCAACTAACCCCGCCCACCCCCCTCATTTTCCCGCAACCCCCACTTTGGGAACCACTGCATGTTTAATTACTTGCACAAACAATGAACAGTACATTTATTATTTATTATTTACAATTATTTAGTCATCTTTATTAACATAAATGAAAATGAAGTCATTTGTTTTTGATTCTCATTAAATCGCAGTGGCCTTTACACCTAGGATATGCATTATTTTCTAATAATCCAGTGTACTCCAGTGCAGTATTCTGCTTTTACTACTCACTATTCAGGTGTGATATTTGAGGCATTTGTCAGGTTTTTGACCTCAAACTGCTTCTGTGAGTAGAACTAGTTTCTTACACATCTCCTCCAAAGCCTTCACTTGTGTGATTGTTGAGTGTGTACAGCAGGGGTGTCCAAACTCTGTCCTGGAGGGCCGGTGTTCTGCATATTTTAGTTCCAACCCTAATTAAACACACCTGAAGCAGCTAATCAAGCTCATCCTAGGTTCTTGAAACTTTCAGGCAGGTGTGTTGAAGGAAGTTGGAGCTTAACTATGCAGGACACTGACTCTATATAGGTTTATAGGTTTTAAAATAACTAGAATCATTTAGTGTAATAATATGGAGCTGTAATGTGCACGAAACTTGCCGGAACTACTTTAGCTGTGTGTTTATCTGAAAAAAACAACAACACTCTTTAGAAGGCTCATCAGCCAATCAGAATCAAGCATTCAGCAGACACATGGTATAGCATGCTTGTTTATCATTTAACATGAACTAAATGGACTTTATTGTAAAGTGTTTACATCAAAAGACCAGTTTTTAATATGCATGCATGCTGTCCAGTGCTAACAATGCTAACCGTTACCTTGTTTGTGGATTAAAGTCATAGCTTACCCTCCTCCTATATGCAATGGAGGTATCGGAGGTAAGACTCAGCGTTTTTATGGCACCTCCATCATCATAATTACCATCATCTCATTAGTATGAATGAAGAGCGGCTCTTCCCAAAGCATGCTGGGAGAATCCGATGTGTGCTTTTTCACGTGCATGATCACATTTGTGTCGTGAATTTGGTGCTTCTAATGTGATCTGTCTGTCTTTTTATAGCCTGTCACATTACTGTAATTGCACCTCGCCATATTTCATTATAATAACGATTAAGTGTGCTTGGAGAACGGCCCAAAATGATCTGAAGATTATAGCTGTCCGGTCTGAGAGGATATATTAAGTGGCTTTTTGGATAAGGACCAGGTTTGAGATGCTTTAGGAATGTGCACTATTTTTTTATAGAGAGCAATTAAAAGGATAATAAGACTGACATCAGCAAATGCAGGATTACTGTGCCATACAGGAGAGCACATTTAGCATTCATTAAAAGCTTTGACCGCTGAGATTTACTGTCTAGAAGGACGTCAGATATGAGATATTTCTTCAAGTGAGCTTTATTCTCTACCAAGTTTGTCTTTTAAAGCAAAAAATATAAGTTTTATTGGTAAATTTAATACTGAATGTATTGCAAAGTGTTCACTGTAGATTAGAATGCAAAATAATATAAGGATTATAAATGTTCACCTCAAAGATGAATACAGTTTGTTTAAATGTACACTACCTGACAAAAGTGTTGTCTTCGATCAGCAAATATTAACTTGACTTCTAGTTGATCATTTGGAAAAGTGTCAGATTTCAGATGAATCATGTGGTGATCTGCATCCCGATCATCACAGATACTGCAGAAGACCTGCTGGAACCCACATGGAGCCAAGATTCTCACTGTAATCAGTCAAGTTTGGTGAAGGAAAAATCATGGTTTAGGGTTACATTTAGTATGGGGGCGTGCGAGAGTTTTGCAGAGTGGATGACAACATCAACAGCCTGAAGACATTAGTGCGGCCCATTACATTACAAACCACAGGAGAGGGACAATTTTCCAGCAGGATAGCGCTCCTCCTCATACTTCAGCCTCAACATCAAAGCTCCTGAAAGTAAAGAAGGTCAAGCTGCTCCGGGATTGGCCAGCCCAGTCACCAGAGGTGAACATTATTGAGCATGTCTGGGTAAGATGAAGGAGGCATTGAAGATGAACCCAAAGAGTCTTGATGAACTCTGGGAGTCCTGCAGGAACGCTTTCTTTGCCGTTCCAGATGACTTTATTAATCAGTGATTTGAGTCATGTCAGAGATGTATGGATGCAGTCCTCCAAGCTCATGATGGAGTCAGACACAATATTCATTCTGTCTCCACTGCAGCAGGACTTTATATTCTAGACTGGACATTATTTCTGTTCAGTGATGAGACTTTTATCTAAGCAGAGTCAGACCTTACTGTCCTAATGAAATCATTCAAAATCAAGGCATGATCATATTTTATTTGGGTCAAATAAGCGTCATCTAGAGGCCTTCGCCTTTCATATAAGCCACTTCTGAAACCAAATGATCAACTAGAAGTCGAGTTATTAATTGCTGTTCCTAAAACTTGGATAGGCGACAAGACTTTTGTCAGGTAGTGTGTCTTTTTTTAGTTTAGCATGTATATTTTGAAATGTGTCCACATATGTTTGTAATAATGCATGTGGACAATTAACTTGTAGAATTATTGTATCAATGCATTCTCTGGCACCTTCAAAAATAACTAAAAGTATCTTAAAACATCATAACTTTATTAAAAAATATCATTTACAAGGTATGTTTGTAATGAAGCAACAAATACATGTAAACAGTTAGCATGTAGAACAATTTAACCCTTATGTATTGCTCAAATTGACTACCTTTGATAAATTATACCTCTTCCCAACAGGGAAAACCTCCAAGCAAGAATGCATGATTATATAATGTCATGGCTTTGCTATCAAAAAACGGCATTATAATGGAAGTCATTGGGGCAAAAACAGCCCCGAACATAACGAAAGTGTAGTCGATTTGGCCAGAGTGTGTTGTTATGTCAAAGCATTTTTTCAATATGCATCAAAATAAGATTTGGCACCAAACATTGTTCCATTTGCTGAAACAGAGAGAAAGTTGTGGCCAAATTAAGACTCATAATCACTCCAAAGTGAATGAAAACATCCCCAACAGCACACAAGGGTTAATACTCCATCGTGTTAAGCTCTCTCAGCCACCATATGAATGTGTATCAGAGGACATTTACACTAGTCTTTCGGATGAGACGTTACACCGAAGTCCTGACTATCTTTCGTTGTTAAAAATCCCTGGATGTCCTACGAAAAAGAGTAGGGGTTTAACCCCGGCATCCTGGCCAAATCTGCCCACTGTCCAGCATGGCCTCCTAACCATCCTCATATAATAATTGGCTTCATCACTGTGTCTCCTCTCCACCAATCAGCTGGTGTGTGGAGTGCGGTTTGGCCCAATAAGGCTGCTGTCGCGTCATCCAGGTGGATGCTGCACACTAGTGGTGGATGAGGAGATTCCCCCTAATGTGTAAAGCGCTATGTCTAGAAAAGCTCTTTATAAATGTAAGGAATTATTATTATTATTTAATCTAGTCTCTTGCAGCTTAGCCCTCCAATCCGAAACAAAACGCATGTGTCCAGGTGTGAACAGTCCCATATTGTCTTGCAGATGGTGTGCAAGTGGCTCAGCTGGGCGGCGCTGATGAGAACCTGTGCCGGATCTGCATGGACGCCGTGATCGACTGCGTTCTGCTGGAGTGCGGGCACATGGTGACCTGCACCAAATGCGGAAAGAGGATGAGCGAGTGCCCCATCTGCAGACAGTATGTGGTGCGCGCCGTGCACGTCTTCAAGTCTTAACGCCAGCTTCACTTCCCACTGGAACAAAAAAAAAAAACAACACACCTAGAGACCGTCAATGGACCGAGAGTCTGTCCGTTTCATTTCACACGGGTGGAAAACCGGCACACTTACTGTACTTTCCAGAGCGAGCGTCACCTGCTGCCCGATTTCATGTGGTCACACTTTAATGAGTTACTAACCCAGGGAGGACGGATCTTAGAGGAACAAAGGTACAGTCCAAGACAGTGTTATCAACCCTCCTGGGAATGTTTTGATTATTCTTCAAATGTTTTCCAAGTGATGTTTAACTGGGGTGGCACGGTGGCTCAGAACTGTTGCCTCACAGAAAGTCGCTTCTTCGAGCCCCGGCTGCATCATCTGGCATTTCTGTGTGGAGTTTGCATGTTCTCCCCATGTTGGCGTGGGTTTCCTCCGGGTGCTCCAGTTTCCCCCACAGTCCAAACACATGCGCTCTAGGTGAATTGAATAAGCTAAATTGGCCGTAGTGTATAGAGTGTGTATGGGTGGTTCCCAGTACTGGGTTGCAGCTGAAAGCGCATCTGCTGCGTAAAGAATATGCTGGAATAGTTGGCGGTTTATTCCGCTGTGGTTATATGATTTATAGGATTTTTTTTTCTCCTTTCTAGAAATATTTGATTTAACATTAGTAATATTTACTTCATTTTAGTTTGGCTAGAGTGAAAGCAGTTTTTATATTTTTAAAACAGTTTTTAAGGTCACTGTTATCCAGTTACTTTAACCCAGTTAAAGTACATATTTCTAAAGGTGCTGTTGTGTGAGGTTGACTTAACCAGGAAGGCTTGTAGTGAGTTCTCGAAGTATGGCAAGCGAGAAAAACCTAAAAAAAAAAAGATGATGACACTACTTGCTGATGTACACTCTCAGAAATAAAGGTACAAGAGCTGCCACTGGGGCTTTACCTTTTCAAAATGTACATATTTGTAACTGAAAGTCCATATTAGTACTTCAAAGGTACATTTTAGGAGCATTTGGATACTGATATGTACCTTTAAGGTACCTCTAAGGACTCCTTAGTAGGGCCAAACAGAATCTGCTGACATTTTCTACTATTTCTGCAGAGAATTTTGGTAAAAATCTGCGAATTTTTGCTGAATTATTTTGGGAGTATCATAACTAAAACCCCAATATGTGTATTATAAAAAAAATAATACCTTTTAAACTTGTATTTAATTGTATTTAAAATGCTAATCTAATTAGATTCACTTTATTTGGTAACCAAAGCCAGTCTCTCATATAATATCTCTACTAAAAGACAGAAAATATTACTTTACAAACTGCACTGTACATAAATCAGATGAATATTAGTCAATAATATTAATGTACTTAATTTGAAAACTGAATAAATATAGATTTACACACATTTACTCAAGTAAATGAACAGAATTAATGATGGGCTAAAATCTGCGGAAATCTACCGAAAATCTGCAGAATTCTGCGCGCACAGATTCCGTGTGGGCCTACTCTTTAGGTACAAATATCTACTTTTTGAAAAGGTACTGCCCCAGTGACAGCTCTTGGACCTTTATTTCTGAGAGCGTAACGTGCAAAGTGATGGTTTATTTACAGTGTGTGAGAGTCAAAACCAAAATAGCCAACAAAATAATCAAAAATAAAAGAATAAATAAACACAAGCAAACAAGTAATATACAGTTGAAGTCAGAATTATTCGGCCCCTTTGAATTTCTTTTTCTTTTTTTAATATTTCCCAAATGATGTTTAACAGAGCAAGAAAATTTTCACAGTATGTCTGATAATATTTTTTCTTCTGGAGAAAGTCTTATAGGTTTTAATTCGACAAGAATAAAAGCAGTTTTTAATTTTTTTTAAAGCCATTTTAAGGTCAATATTATTAGCCTCTTTAAGCTATATTTGTTTTCGATAGTCTACAGAATAAACCATCGTTATACAATAACTTGCCTAATTACCCTAACCTGCCTAGTTAACCTAATTAGCCTAGTTAAGCCATTAAATGTCACTTTAAGCTGTATAGAAGTGTCTTGAAAAATATCTAGTAAAATATTATTTACTGTCATCATGGCAAAGATGAAATAAATTTATAACTTTTAATAAAGTTATTAGAAATGAGTTATTAAAACTATTATGTTTAAAATTGTGTTGGAAAAATTCTGCTCTCTTTTAAACAGAAATTAGGAAAAAAGTTATTCAGGGGGGCTAATAATTCTGAATTCAACTGTATGTACAACCACACAAGTATACACAGACAGTTCGGCTGTCTCAATATATTACATATTTTACACATCTAAAATGCTTTAATAGTGTTTATAAGAGAAAAACAGCATGAAAGAGAAATAGTGGATGTTTTATTTGATTTATTTGCATATTATTTATATTTAACCCATTGAGAAGTGAAGTTCAAAACAGATAATTATAAAAAACAGTGTTAAAAATCAAATTATGTTTTGTTTGCCGCATATAGTTAAAGGTAAATGGTGTAATTCAATCCGGCCACCACCACAAGTATTTTTCAAACCGGTGGGAAGCACTGCAAGCTGTGAAATAGCTCAGCCAATGACTTTAGTCCATTAAAAAATACTAAAATAAAGCTCAGATTTGATAGACGACACTCACAAAACCATCAAGATTTTGACACTCTGTTAAAGTCTGTGAGAAACTCACACCTGAGCATTGCATTCACTTCATTCTCCCTATGAGAGGTGTCTTTAAGCTGCCATCACCTTAAAAAAGCCTTCATTCAGTAGTTCAGCACTTTCTCCTTGAGGCATTACAATGTTATCACACAGAGTTCATCTTTCAGATTTGTTTTGTTTTATTTTTATGTTTGTTTTGTTTGAGTTTTAACCAAAATCTGCTTCAATTCCACGTCAACAGCTCCTTCAGAAATATTATTCCCAGAAAAAACATGACATTTTTAATACTTATTTTCCCCACTATAAGTACTGTTAACACAAAATAAATGAGTTATTATTAGTATTATGTTGATTAAAGGTATCTTGAGCACTTGGGAATTATTTTAAAAATAAGAGCACTTCACAAGAGAGTTGATGATTTTGTCTTGAGCTGTATAAGGAGATAAATGGTTTACGTTGCTGTAAACGTCTCGGAAATGTCTTACTGTATGTGCAATATTAGAAATCTTTAACGTGTGCGTGTAGAGAAACCGATTGCCATTAAGATGCATGTTATTGTAGGAACAGTGAAGACCTGAATGGAGGGAAAACGTACTGTAGGTGCCAAAGTAGAAATGTGTGGAATGGCTTTTGGATGGTGTTTTTAATCTTTTGGATCTGTTATTTTCCCGGATCTCCATACACACAAACACACACACACACACAGATCAGCATCCATGACATGGGATCAAATGACCAGCTAGCAGAGGAGTTATTTATAGCGAGACGATGAGAAACCACATTGTGTTTTTTTCTCACAGAAGAGTCACTGGAATCCAGCATCTGCCGCTATTGTAGCTTATTCACTGGGACTTCAGATGTGTTCTCAGTTTTAATCTTGATCACGTTTTGCAGTGGCTGTGGAACGCCAGGTTTGTTTCCATTGCGGTGTGTAAACAAGGTCTGCTAAGTTGCGCGAATAGGCGTCAAACAATATGACGGTTACTTAGCAGTGTTTCTCAACCACGTTCCTGGAGGACCACCAACACTGCGTGTTTTGGATGTCTCCTTTGTCTCTGACACCCATTACAGGTCTTTCAGTCTCTGCTGATGATCTAAATCAGGTGTGCTTGCTTAAAGAGACATGGAAAACGTGCAGAGCTGGTTATCCTCCAGGAACATGGTTGAGAAACACTGACTTGGGTAAATTAATTAAAGGGATAGCTCATTTAAAAATGACAACTTAATTGCCATTAGATTTCACATTTTGGGAGGACACAACAGAAGATATATTGAAAAGCATTGGAAAATGGTAGCCATTGACATCCGTAGCTATAGGAAGGGGAAAAACACTGTAGCATTGGGGGTTTGGGTGGTTCAAACAACCCAACCACCACCGCAAATAGTTGATTTTTGACCCGTACATGACCTCCCTTGTTGAGCTTTTTAACATTACAAATTGTCAAAAATACCTGTTTGATGAAGGCTTTAAGGGGCGGCATGGTGGCTCAGTGGTTAGCACAGCAAGAAGGTCGCTGGTTTGAGTCCCGGCTGGGTCATTTGGCATTTCTGTGTGGAGTTTGCATGTTCTCCCCGTGTTGGTGTGGGTTTCCTCCGGGTTCTCCGGTTTTCCCCCACAGTCTAAACACATGTGCTACAGGTGAATTGGGTTAACTAAATTAACTGTAGTGTGTGTGTGTGTGTGTGTGTGTGTGTGTGTGTGTGTGTGTGTGTGTGTGTGTGTGTGTGTGTGTAAGTGAATGAGAGTGTATGGGTGTTTTCCAGTATTGGATTGCAGTTGGAAGAGCATCTGCTGCTTAAAACTTATTCTGAAATAGTTAGCGGTTCATTCCGCTGTGGTGACCCCTGATAAATAAGAGATCAAGCCGAAGGAAAATGAATGAATAAAGGCTTTAAGACCAAGCAAATCAATTTGGCCCCATGCAAACACTTTTTGAGGACATCAACATTCAGTCACGAATGAAAACCTGCGGTCTTCCTGAGATGTGATCAATCAATAAGGGAGGTCATCTTTCACTTTAATGCTGTTAAATAGAGGAAAAACAACAAGTAATGTCTAGCACATGCTTGGAGATCATTCTTAAACCCAAAACAACCCAAATAGTGTGAAGACCAAAAGCATACAATAGTTTATATGTTTATTTTAGGGGACCTATCATGCAAAAATCACTAATATAAGGGGGTTTAAACACAGTTGTGTGGTAACAGTGTGTAAATATAACCAGCTTCAAAAGGTAAACGTGAATTCATTATATATTTTTATAATCAGGCTTGATATAAACAGTCTGCAGAAACACTTTGATTGACATTCTCCCTATGTGACATCAAAGAAGGAAAACCCCGCCCATAGTGACCATCTCTCCCTCATTAGCATAAACAGCCTTGAGTGAGAAGCAGCCGTTCT